AAATTATGGATATGGATTTATGATTTATATAAAAAGTGAGGAATAATACCATTTAGGATAATTAATAGTAATATTCTATTATAACTTGAATTGTAAATTGATAGACACTCAAAAAGGTAATATCATGTTATAAATAATATTCAAAACATAATACTCATTTTAGTAAGTATGTAACAAAACATAACATATGATATATATAATAATAACACTGCATACCATGTTAATATATGACATGTTATATTGTATGTAGCATGCTGCTATATTTAATATAACATGCTATACGATACAAAAATATGATTGTGTAATAATAATATGGCATACCATGATAATATATGGTATGTTATATATTATATAACATACTACATTTAATTTAACATGAAATACAATACAAAAATATAATGTGTGTAATAATAATATGTAATACCATGTTAATACATGACATGTTATACCATATAAATATATTATATATAGCATATTAAAATTTTTTTATTCTGACATTATAAATAGTTTGAGTAATCACAAACATAATAACATGTTATCAGTAATATATATACGGTATGTCAAATATAATATTTTGTTTTATTGTAATATTATGTAAATAGTTTGTGTAATATATGTTAATTTTTAAAATTTCAAATTGTAACATATGCAAAAAAAATTGTTGTTTTCATATATACAAATTTGATAAAATAAAATTTTGAAATAAAGTATTACATCAAACAAAATCAAATCGGAAAACTAAATGATGAAAGAGAAAATTGTCACTTTATGATTTTTGTGTTAGTGTCGCTTATGTTATGTTATAATTCTCTCCGACACAATCTGACACGAAATCGTCTAATCGTTGTGTTTCTCTATGCGTGAAAAGGATATTATAGTCATTTGATAGTCATACAGCTTAATTAATTTAAATTAAGTCTACTCTCTTAAATATGCTACAGTAACAGCCTACATGGTGGTATTTCTCTACCATTTTTCAAGTTATTTATAGGTTTGATACTAATTACCAAATTTTGGATACATATTTATAATTTATATAAAATGTGGGGAATATTACGAGAACGTGGAAATACCAAAAATTAAGATAATGAAAATGTTCGTCGGAGACGGTATCGGAAAAGCAATCATCAAAGGAAACTGCAGTCGCGTTGATGGATGGCAAACATTTCATACAGCTACCGTTGGTTAGTCTTTTTTTAATTATTAAATTACTTTTAATTCTCTTGATTTTGCAATGTTAAATAGGACATTATTTGCAATAACTATTCTTAAATAATCAATCAAATAAATCTCTTTAAAAATATAAGGCTTTTAAAGTGATTCGGTAAAATAGTGATTCGGTCTACTGATTTAACTCATCTATTTTGACCCATTATCGAAATATTATTAATGATTATAGTTTAGTGAGTCATCCATTTGGAAACATTCTCATAGGAGCACTTTATGTGTCTGACCAAAATACTCTTACTTCATTTTTAAAAAGTGAAAAATCGTGTACATGCAGTTGTGACCAAAATCGTTAACATGTGAAAAAAAGTAATCGTGTACATGCAGTTGTGGACATGATAGTAATTTTTTAGATGGTTATAGATGAACACATAAAAATATGTTATCCACATGAACAATAAAAAATGGCTAAAGCTTCATGGTTACATGTCATCCGATTTGTAAACTTCAATGGAAGATCATCCAAGAATATTAGTCACGAGACTCACGACACAACAAAGGCGTACTGATTTGGGTTCCGTTACGTCAGTTTCGAGAATGTACATTTCGGCTCCTGCTCTCAGAAAGCTTGGGCTTTTCTATGGCGTTAAGGAATTTCTTGTCATTTCTCTTTATTAATTGGTTTTTTCCTTCTGTAGTACCTGATTTTTCTAACTGATCCAAAGCCTTCCAATGGAAATTGCAACTTTTCCACAACAAAACTTCATAACTGATTTGTTCTGTGACTAAACTTCATAACTGATTTGTTCTGTGACTCCAGTAACGGGGAAGCAGCAAAACTTATACGCGAATTTGCTAATATGATGGATGAGTGGGACGGTATTACAGCAGTTAGTTATGATTTAACTACTAGCACGCTTAAAATGTTCACGAATAAATCTCTCAGCGTGAGACGGGTACTTATCTCGGACATAGGCTCGAAGACATTTCTGGTACGAGAAATCTATCCATCCACCATCTGTTCTCACAACAAAGAGGCACCTCGAGTGCCTGAACTGAGGATGCCGGTCAACCTGCCATTAACAATTTACCACTTGTTAGCACATCCTTTACTAAAAGAAAATGAAAAGTTTGGATATATCAAATGCATTTTTAGATACATCATCTAAGTGAGTCATTTTATCTATCATAGTGGTTCAGGAATTGATCCAAAAGATGTGGAGGAGTATAACTCCAGATGATTTTTATATGAGTAGAGGTCAAAGAAAAAGAGATATCAGGCCCCCCGAATTTACGTACGTACCATTATAAAATCAAGACCGCAGCCAATTTTGTCTTTGGAGTAGGGGTGATAAGCAAGAAGCTTTTCAATTACAATTTTCTCATCCTCAAATTCTAGCCGTTCTCCATCCAAATACCTGCTTATCAAGAAGAAAAACAGTTTACACGAACTGCAAATATAATCTACACGAAAGGGCGAGTATGCACTGAATCTAGCTTCAAATATCAATAGTTCACTACAAAACAGTTCCGGTTTGGCTACTGTTCTAGTAGACTGAAGATACACGAGCATCAATAACCACACGGAGAACAATTATTCTGCATTGAACACTATAATCCGATCAAGTTCCAAGCATCCATCGCTAAAGATTTCTCACTTAAAAACGCAATTGAGAAACCAGCTCTAGCATGTAGATAGACCTCAATTCAGTAATCTACGGAATGAGCAACATTTTTCACAAAGGTCTAATGGTGCCTATGATGTTTAAGTAGATAAAACAACAAGCTACTGGAAGAAGCTATGAACCTACGACTTTAACATTAACACAAGCATGGAGCAGCCATTATAGAACATGAGAGCTTCATTCCAAGTACTTGAAGAACAATCAGGGATCAATCACAACCTAAATTTTCATTGGAATTCAAAACATTTGAAAATTGATTTCTATCAAGTTGTGATTGTAAGATAGTAGCAGCTGATCTAACCGAACATCCGAATCATAAACTGTCGACAACAAAAATCACCTATCCGAATGAAGAATATCTTTAGCGAGAAGAGCTATAGGTTCAATATCTCTCAGAATCTCCGCCTCTAGATTCTTCCATTTCCGATAATCAGGATCTTCTAAACGCCAGTTATCATCAACAAGCGGCGTCGAGTTCATCGCCGTCGCGGATCCCTCCGCCGGTGAATCATCCTCGCGAAACTGTGGTTTATCAGCAAGAGAACACCATAGACGCCGACGGTGAGAGAGGAATCCAGCCGCTGCGATTCTAATTTGATGACGGTGATTGAGAAAACCGTTGTGGAGGAGCGGAAGGGTTCTGAGGAGGAGTAGCGAGGTCATTGACCACGATCCAGAGAACAAGATCGACCTCGAAAACAATAACCAGAAACCGATCCCAACGCGTAAACCCTAACCTGTACAGTCACTCGAAGAAGAAGATGAGTGAGTCAGGGAAGTTTGAAACAGTCGGATATTTGGGAAGGAGAAGATAAGGAAGAAAGGCCCACACAGGCCCATATTTATCTCACATATTACGAAGCTGGGAATCGAACCCACGTAGCTAAAGGCTCTTTCAGGTCTTTCTCGATATTTTTCTTTCACTTTTTTCAAAAAAAAAAACCACTAAAGAAAGAATTAGCTGCTATTCTGTGCCGTTAGATTGATCCTTAACGCTTCTATAAATATCTAAAACCACTATCCAACGGCTCAGATGCGAAATTGCGTGTCAACACTGTACGTTACTCATCACCGAATCTTTCTCCTCTTTTCTCTCTCCAGCTGGCCGAACCCACCGGCTTAGCCCACTTTCTCTCTTGGGCCCACAAAGGCAACTTGGTTTGTATCAGTAGTAGATTACTGAAATACCCACAGAGTTAGCTTACTTGGCCTTTCTCAGTCCACGTGGCTCATCTTACGTGCCTAATTTGGTAATTTCGTAAATAATCACCTACAGCGCGACTCATGACGTGTTTCAAAGAGATTCGTTGAGTTGACACACGTGTCAAATATTAAAACAATAGTCGGTCGGAGATATTTAGAAGATCTAAAATATCTAGCTAACTCGTCCACGTTGGCACTAACACAAGGCCCATCTGGAATTAGATATTGCGCTTTTCTCTTATCTTTTTTGCTTTGGGAAAAAGATAAAATAAAATACTTAAATGATTGATATTTTTTCCTCTCTTTTTGAAAAAAAAATTGCTCATCGTCACAAACCAAACTTCTCCACGAATTCTCAGTCTTTCCTTTCTCCGTTCTCGAAAATTCTCATCGGATTTGTAGCTTCAAAGGCTTGAATCAGAAACTGAAAACGGGAAGAGGAAGTGAAGATGAGCGATTATGAGTTTTCCGGTGACGGAGATAGGGTTATGGATTGGGAGATGGGGTTACCTAGCGACGAGGATTTAGCATCTCTTTCTCACTCACTGATCCCTCCGAATCTCGCCATGGCTTTTAGCATAACACCGGAGAGAAGCCGTACGATCCAGGATGTGAATCGAGCATCGGAGACCACTCTCTCTTCGCTGCGCAACGGATCTTCCGGTTCCGGAACCAACACCTCTTCCTC